GCAGAACCAGATCTGTGACTGGCAGGAAGGGAGTGGCCCAGCCTCTGACGGGGCTGCTGGTTTTATCTTGCTAGCTGCAATTAGCTTTTTCCAGACTTTCTGCTGCTGAGCAGAAACTGAAACAAAAATGGGCGTATTTATTCATACCGTTTGACTTAGTGTATTTTAAACTTGGGGGGAGGGGCTAGGGGGTAGGTAGAATTTCTCTATAAGCTCCTCCTTTTTTACTGAATTAATTTACTTCATATAGTCCACAGCTTTCAGATCTAACTGAAAATAGGTAACCACCACGAGTACTCCTTGTCTGGGTTTTAAACTTGTTTCACTGAGAAATTTTACTCTTTAAAACTATCATGAGTATGAGATTAACTCTACTTCCTTTAGTGTCTCTTGTGGTGAAATTGTATCCAGTTTTCAGACACTGACAAAGGAGTAGGCTTTGAAAGCTGCATGCAGCCTGAGGCCTCCCGTGGGCAGCGCCGCATGGAGCTGCCGCTTTGAAGCACCCCTCCTCTCCATGCCCCAAGCGGGCTGCGCCCATGATTGCTCATGTGCCCATCGACATGTTTTGTTAGACTGTAAAGTGCTACCAGACGATTTGTTGTTTTTTCAGTTTACCTGGACAGACTAACTCGGATACCCCCTGAAGCTTCTTTCTGATGGTGCGGGTAGGAGGGGGAACGGCTAGTCAACAAGTGTTGGCTATCGGATAAGCATTTGAAAAAACCCAACCCTCAGTGATAGGGCCCCCAGCTGAGAAGGGGAAACGCTCCCCACGTTCCTGTCACACACCAGGGCCTAGGCTAGTAGATTTTGTGGGCTCCAGCCCTGTGGGGGGATGGGGGAGGGAGGAGGAGAGGCTGGAGCACTGGTGCAGGCTTCTTAATGTTGTGGGGGAGCCCTGAGCCTTGGGGGCCAGATCTAGGCAAGCTGGGGGGGCGCATTCGGCCCCCAGGCCTGAGGCTCCCCACCCCGGTGTAAAGCAAGGGAGTGAAGTCTGCCTGAATCTGAAGGCAGTGGAGAAGAGAGCTAAAAAGGTGTCTTTCCTCTTAGTGAGTCTCTTCCTGAAGCCTAACAATCCCAATGTCCTTCTAAATGTTGACTTCTAACCGAAATGGGCAAGAGAAGAAGGGTAATAGACTGTAAGAGCTGCAAGCCTCCACATGCATCTTTTTAGCTATGCAAACAGGCCACGTTCAGAAGAGTGCCACCACTTGATTTTCAGTCTGATCTTTGTAGATGGAAATCTTTTCTGGAGCTGGATGGCTACAAAGTATTGGCTGTTTCTCCTCCTCACCAGCCTGCAAACTTAAAAAGCACATGGTTTGATTGTATAACTTCTTCTATGCTAACACTCATTTTTACTCGAGACTAAGACCAGTGCTAAGTTACCTGCAGTTAGTACTGGCTAACTTTTTGGCATTATTATTTACACTTCTTGTAGCACCCAGAGACTCCAGGCACAATTGAGGCCTGCTTTCTATATTTATACATTTTCGTGACCTAAAATAGCTGGAAAAAAGGGGTCTCGCATGCCAGGGTGAAAATGAGACATGCTCAGTTATATTGGGTAGTAGAGATTACTTTGAGACCATATTTTAAAAACACAGCTTTTATTCATTTTCACTATACAGTGTTTTCAGATAATAGTAAAATCCCTCCAAATGTATCTGTGAGACCACAGTGTTTGCCTGAAATTTGACTTCATTGCAAGGTTTTCCCAACTTACAAGGTTGGGCTTTATGAAAAGTGCTAAAATTAGCAAACCCTTCCCTGCTGATCTCATAATATTGGAATAGACTGGAAACATAAATTCTGGGTTTTTTTAAATTTAGTATGTCTTAACAAAGTGTACCCTGTTCAGTCACTGAACATGGTGCATTCAAAAACTGCACCTTTATTTGCTTGTTGGGTTTCCTTTACATGTTTATCTATATTCAGGAAATGGAGTAAGGGAAAAGCCTAGATAGAGCATAGAAAGGCTTTTGAAAGTAATGATACCATAAGCTGGAACTGCATTGGGCTAGCGCTAATAAAGGAATGGCTTTGAGATCTACTCAGCATACTAGAATGTTGTAAATTGACATATTTTTGTTGTTTCTTACTAATGGCATAGTTTTTCAGTCAGAATGCAGGGGGTATCTTTCTTCGCCCCCCACTCCTCATCCCTCCCCCCCGCCCCGAGTTTTTACAAGACCTGCAGCTCATAGGATTGGCTCCTGTGCTAACACTTGAGCCTTCTTGGAAATGAAGGAAAAGATGGTGTAATATGTGTTCGCAATTGTATATTCGTAGACCTGACATCCAGATGGTACTGTTAACGTGAACTGATTCTCTTCTGAAACTACACACTAAGACAGCGGTCTCCTACCTTTTTAAGTACACTTTTTTAATTTGTTGGTCCAAGATCTGCCTCAAACCCAAGTACCCCTGCCCTGCCCCTGCCCCACCTCTTGGCTGAGGCCCCGCCCCCCTCTTACTCTGTGAAGTGACATCAGTGCCCCCTGCCTCTGTCTCCCCCACCCTACACAGCAAGCAGGAGCAGCAGGGCAGTGGGGGGAAGGGCATTTGAAGTGCTGGCGCTTGAGAGCCTCCCAGCCAAACTGGTCAGGATCCCCTGCCAGAGGCTCCAGGATCTCCCGGTAGGTCCTGCTCTAGTGGTTGGTGACCACTGGGCTACGGGCTACGTCCGCATCCACAAGTGATTGTTTTAAGAACTTCCGAGTTACTGTGCCCGGGACTCCAGAGCGGAAGGGTCTGGGTCCTGTCATTTGGGGATCTCTCCAGACATTAAATAACAAGAATTTCTCGGCTGTCCAGGCCTGCCGCTGGGGGGGAAGGGGAAGGTGCAGTGGAGGGGGCAGTTGCCCTGAGGCCCAGCGATTAGCAATTCTAAAGGCCCCAGGGCTCCTGGCTGCTGCTACTGTGGCAGCTGGAGCCCTGGGCCCTTTCAAGTCTCTGGGGGAGCACCCTGCAGCCTGTGCACCAGCTGCGCCTTCTGCCCGAGGCCCCGCCCCTCCACACAGACACACACTGCTTAGGACACCGGCCGTCCTGTTGGCTCCCCTGAGGCTATTGCCTATATTCACACACTGGCTTTAACAGGCCTTCAGCAGGTGCTGGTGAGGTCTGCTCGCTTGATGAGATGCAAGTTCCCTAGAGTTGAAAGATGCATCTCAGCATTCTTGTACTTGACCTCAGCAATTACTTACCTTGGTCTAAGGTCTTCTGCGGATGTAGGATTGCTTTGCATTACACTAGCGGAGCCCCTCATTGGGCTCCAGGGTGACTTTCCTGTGGGATTGTCTCAGATGCACTAAGCGCTATATAGACTAGGCATGTTAAATATCTGTTAATTGAATAGTTGATTAACTGAATCAATTCTTACCGGTTACTAGACTATTCTGTAGTCCGGTTACTAGACTATTCTGTAGTCCCCAGGGCTGCGGCCATCAGCCCGTGTGCTTCTGGCCTCTCCTGAGGCGCACCTTGCCATTCTGCGCTGCTGCCTCTGGATCAGAAGCAACATCGCAGGGTGCCAGGCAGGAGCTGGTCTGCGAGGGGAGCCAGTTTAATAACCAGCTCCCCTCGTGGACCGGCTGCCTGTCGCCCTGCGCTGCTGCCGCTGATGCTGAGTCAGCAGCATGGGGTGGTGGCAGCAGCCTCTTTCTGGGAGGGTGGGGGCTGAGCTCCCAGACCTAGTGCAAACTGAAACTGAGTCAGGCTGCCTGCTCACCTGGCTGCTAATGCACTTGAAATGCAGAGCTGCAGTTTACTGGCAAGGGGTGGGTGGAAAATGTGTCGTATGTAGCATAAATGGATAAGCTTTTGCTAATCGGTTAATTGACTACGCTATTAGATCCCTAATCGAGACATGTAGGAAGAGATGTGCTCTTCTTCGAGAGCTTTCTGCCCTGGTAATTGGGTGTAAACAGTGCTTGCTCCTAGCGGGACAAACAGTATTTACACAGTCGCTAAAAGTGGTGTAGCGTAGACACAGCCTTATTTAGCAACTGGTGTGTCTCTGGTTGAAGGCCATGCAGCAGTAGCCACGTAATGCACAAGAATATTTTTTTTCTAGTTGAGCCTGTTTCAAATGGCACCAATAATGTTTAGCTGCTGAGGATTAAGAGATCTTATTTGGGCCAAACCTGACCCCACAAATTGGAGCACAGAAGGCTTTGTGGTCCCATTTGCTTTGTAGATGACTGGATCCTCTGAAGCTGCCATTTAGTATGTATCTTCCTGGTACCTGCATTTGGCAGCTACCTCCAGCTCTTGTTGCTGTTTGCAAGCGTTTTCCAGGGCTGGCTCAATCTCTCAGCTTCTGTGGAATGGGCTTAGTCATACAGGGCACTGACTGAATGTATACCAAACCCACGTTGCTTGAATCTAATCTGAGTAAGAGTAACAATGTCAGAGTTGCAAAAATGCCCAATCCTTACAATTCCGTGTGTGGTTTTTGACCCAAGTGATGCTTAAATGAAATGTATTGAAGTAGATGTGTTGGAAAAAAATGTGCGGTCCTTTTATTGTCATAAGTCACTAAGTGTTTTCCTGTTTATTTAAACCACATTGCTAATCAAGCCAGGGTGGATGTGACTTGATTAGCCTCATTAGCACAGTTCCTACACTTGATAAGTCACTTTTTCTGGGGGGGGGGGGGGTGTATACACACACCCTGCCTCTGTAATTTCCCCTTCATCAGATGAATTGAAGTGGGTTTTATCCACAAAAGCTTATGCCCTACTAAATCTGTTAGTCTCTAAGGTGCCACAGGACTCCTTGTTGGTTTTGCAGCTACAGACTAACAAGCACCCCCTCTGAGACTTTGTAGTTACTTGATTGTTGCATGTGGGGAGGGTGATGTTATTTAAGTACAACATGTTAATATGATAATTTATTTTAAGGTACTGTTTTTCAGTGCAGTAAAAATTATTCTTTGCAATGGTTAAACCATTTTATGTGCATAGTTTCACACCATATTTCTTTATTTATAGGGCACAAAGTTATGGATAATAATGGAATACTTGGGTGGAGGATCAGCTTTAGACCTTGTAAGTATTGTAATTTAGTGTTGGTTTCTTCAAGTAGCACTTAAACTATTTTTCTTATTAAGCAGAAGAACATAATAATACTTGAAGAGTGCAGTCCCTCTTGGAAAAAGTAATCTATTGTCATCTAAATTCCAGAGTGGCGTGTTAATGGAGAAAAATGTGTCTGAATTAAAGATTATTTAGATGGTGGCTGTTCATGGTCATCTTTGTGTTCATATCCACTCTGTCTGTTCGAGCAGTCAGGTTTTGTTTATTCCGTTGTGCGTGTGTGTATCTTACGAAGTTTGTACTCTGGGGGTAGTTAATGTTGTTTTAGTCCTGCTGCATGCTAGTCATGCAATGGTTATGCTAAACAACTTTTCCTACTCAATGAGTTTGATTTAAGGTTTGTTATTTCACTGTCTCGAAATGTTGTGAAATTGTGGACGTTTTCCTAACTTGTCGTGTAATTATAAAGAGTGGTTTTATTAGGAAAAAATATTCTTCCATTTTTCAAAGGAGTGTATGTATTGCGTGTCAGTACATAAACTGTTTGCTTTGGGAGTGGGTCTCAGGAAATGTTGTGTGCACACAGGGTATAGTTAATATTTAATGGTAAAACTAAGTTGGGTTTTCAGTTTTGAGCAGTTTAAATTTAAACATCAGAAGTGCCTTTGTCTTAAGATAGATGTAGCATTCATAAAAGATGCTGCTTAGAAGGTGCTAGAAGAGCGTAATCCTCTGTGTGGCAATGTGTGGTTTCCTCCTCAGAGCTGTACCGCATCTGTGACTTAGAAGGCCTACCCTTTCCTGGAAGAGAATAGAGCCTCAGTACTTTTGCTTCTTGGTACAGGAATTTAAGGACCAATTCTGTAGTTCCACACATTTTTTTTTCAGATGTTCCTTACAAACTGAATGTGTTTTTGCTTTTCACAAGAGGCCCCTGTGACTTCATTTAAACTTGTTTATTGGAATTTTGAGGCAATAACTCACACACAAACAAACCCAAACAAATACAACAAAAAAGCATAGTGAAAGTGTCAGTGAACAATTGTCAAGAGTGCTGGAATGACTTCTCTATGTACTTATGTGTTTAGTACTTAATTAATCAAAAGGCACTTTTAGCCCTTGTCATTGTGAGAGAAGCCTTTCAAAAGTGTGAACCCAGTGTAAATGGATTTGTTTGTTTGTGGAATTTGCAAAAATCATGAAACAGCTTCTCCGTTTCCCAGCTGGCAAAATCTCCACTTACTCTTTACAACCTTTTCTATGATAAGGTTGAAATGTAAATTAAACCCCCCCACTGCAACAGATTAAAAATATTGGGACAATGAAATTAGTGGAATTGAATATCAATGTCAAGTGTATATTAGTTGTTCGTGTTTAAGTGAATTGAAAAAGGTAGAACCTCAGTTTCTCTGCTTGGGTGCAGAATTTCTGGTCTGGCGCACTGAAGTGCTGCAGAAACCATGGATTTTTGCATTAAACTCTTGTTTTCCATGTAATGCATGGTTTGGTGGGGAGAGGCTTATATACTGTGCATATTACCTTTCAAACATCCTTCAAGTTGTATAGCAGTAATCCCTGAGAGCTTTACTAAAAGTGCTAGTATCCACATCTGCCGTAGCTGTTTCTTTGAGGAAAGTATTGTGAATCTACAGGTAGAGTGAATCTTTTCATTTTGTGCTCTGTTATAAGAAACTTTTTATAGCAAAAAAGATAAGTTTCAAATGTACTGGAACCTCACTTTAAGGCAAGGATTAGACATAAGGTAGGGATGTTGTTTTAATTGTACTGTTTCCCTCTAAAGCTGCGGGCTGGTCCATTTGATGAATTCCAGATTGCTACTATGCTAAAGGAGATCTTGAAAGGTCTAGACTACCTACACTCGGAGAAGAAAATTCACAGGGATATAAAAGGTGCATAAAGCTCATTTAATAATGCCCTTTACAGTGATTGTAGCAGTGTGATAAACTACATTTTACTTCACCTCTCCCCCTCTCTCTCTCCACCCGATAAACTACATTTTACTTCACCTCTCCCTCTCTCTCTGTCTCCACCACTTAGCTGCCAATGTCTTGTTGTCAGAGCAAGGAGATGTTAAACTTGCCGATTTTGGGGTTGCTGGGCAGCTGACAGATACACAGATTAAGAGGAATACCTTTGTAGGCACACCATTTTGGATGGCTCCTGAAGTTATTCAGCAGTCGGCTTATGACTCAAAAGTAAGTATCATATGAATGGTTCTCTTATAACTGCAGCTTCAGAAGAAAGGAGCTTGACTTTGGCTTTCTGGCCAAGATGGTCCCAGTAAAGTGTACTTTAAGCTACAGAGAGATTTGAATGTATGTACATTACAAATAGTTTATTCATTTATACTTTACTATAGAACTGTAATAGTTACTTGACTGACTTCAATTTTATTTCCACACACCAGAATCACAAGTATTTGTGTAAGCACTTAATTCACATTTGTTGTAGCATCAGTGATAGACATACACAGGTATGTAAGTTTGCCAGTGACTAACTTAAATAATATTCTCAGAAGCAGATCTCCAAGTAAACTCAATTCTACCTCTGCCAAAGTGCGAGTGCTCTAGTAGGTGTCATGAAAAGCAACAAGTGAGTTTGAAACTGTCGTTTTATATTAATTTCTTTGGTGCAAATGCCCCTAGGATGCTGTCAAGGTGTCAAGATGTTTTTGTTTCATTTCTTGCTCTGTTATTGCTATTGCCATCAAAAGGGAAAATTTTTAAAGATTAAAAAAAAAAAAAAGAGAGACCAGGAGGGAACCTGCTTTTGAAAAGGAGCAAAGTAAATAATGGTGACTGAGAATTTACTGCTCCCATTGGTTTCTCACAGTATTGCATTCTTTGCAGGGTGCGAGTATATACCCATGTGTACTGATTAGATTACATAGAGCTCTTCTGTCTCTATTTGTGGTTCTGTGTCTATATCACTGTGCCCAGGACTTTCTGGAGCTAATATGTAAGCAGAAACATAAAATAGTTTATAAACATTTTTAAAAGCATCTCCTTAGGGAAGTGATTTTCAGCCTTTATTTTTCAAAATATTAAGAGCGCAGAGAGGGAGGGTGGCCCTAGCTTTCCCCGGCCCTGGGAGCACTAGTGGCATGGCCCTAGCCTTGGTGGGGCTGGAGCCACGCTGAATGGGGGGAGGAGGCTGGTGTGGAGTATAGTTGGGACCAGTCTGGCCCATATGTATCACCCACAGGTTGAAAACCATTGTTCTATGGTATTGATAACCTGCCACTATGTTCCTAGCAGGGCAGAACAGGAGCATTGCAATGACTTGTTCTTTGTTTGCTCCCCAAACAGAGCAGCTCACTCAGCTGTCAGAGACTTCCTGGATCTTTGAAAAGGGAGGGGCGCATGCCTACAGGGCAGCAGAGATCATAATCACTGAGCACAGCCATAAGGGCAGGCATTGTGGGATACTGGTGGAAGTCCGTTCTAACAGCAAAGTCCACACTGGCTCGTTGTTGACAATAAAGGTGGAGGGGGGCAAGGAAGTCTCTAGTAAGGGTGGAAATTTTTCCTAACAGTTGCATTGCAGAGTGGATGTTGCTGTTTTGTTGCCAAAAGGCAGTTTTTAATATAAATATTATGGATAAGAGTGGCCAGGAGAATGGTTTCAGTTTTGTCCCGATTTGAATAACAAGAGACATAAGTATGCAATATGAACTCAGAGGGTAAGAAATCTGCAGTGGACTACAATTCTTTTCCTAGGAAAATGTCAAGGCTTCTATCAAAAGGTTACATTTTGTTACCAGATCAATACAGGTAGAAATGCTTTGGTTGCTAGACTGAAGTAACCCCTCAAAATGACAGAGGATATAATTCAATAAATCTGGTCTCCATAGATTATTTTACAGCTCCCCCTTCTCAAAATTGCAGTGGGGCCCCTTGTTGATTTTCTGTTGCTGAAACGTATAAACTAGTTTTTATATTCAGATTTAATATCACAGCAGAATGGCTGATGCATGGAATAAGGATGTTAGAAGTGGGTAATTGACTAATCCTGTAGTCGATACAATATCTTTTGACTACCATGATAAGGGGAGGCAGAGTCCAGGAGCAACCCCCACTGCGGCTCTGCAGTTTAAATGCAGTAGGAGCCAGGCGCACAGGCAGCCTGGCTCCAATTTAAATTGTAGAGCTGCAGCAGGGTTCAGTCCTGACTCTCAGCGGGTCTCAGACCTCTGCACCAGACCTCTGCCTCCCCCCTGCACTACAGGGATGGTGCTGGGGAGAACCCAAGGGGTCCCCTCAATCTGCTAACCTCAAACCCCTAGGAGAGTTCCTCCAGGGCTGGATTAAGCCCTGAGCCTCCCTGCCTACTCCCCTCCGCACCTCTGAGGTAAAGCGTGCGGGGAGTGAAGGAAATGTCTGTTTTTTCTGTTTCTCACTTGGGGGCCACATCTGTGAGGGGTGTGTTCTCCTCCTGACTTGGGGACCCAGGTCAGTGAAGTGTGGTGTGTGGTTTTTGTTTTGCTTCTCACTTGTGCAACCCCCGACTGATTTGGGTCAATAGCCCCTGATCCAAAAATTTCCCAACACTTGTGGGTTTTATATTCATCACTTTTATGCTACGTTAACACTGTATAACGTGTGTACTAAGAGCCTGTTTAATACAGTCTGTGTAATTATTGTGCTGTCAGGAATTTTTACCAAACTTTTTTTGTTTCCTCTAGTATGAAATTCAAATAAACTGTGGCACCTCGTGGTTGGCTTTGTATTCAGCGGGAATAAAATAATTCTTTTTCACCCCCTCCCAGGCTGACATTTGGTCGTTGGGGATCACTGCTATTGAACTCGCCAAAGGAGAGCCACCCAACTCAGACATGCATCCAATGAGAGTTCTCTTTCTTATTCCAAAAAACAATCCTCCAACTCTTTTAGGAGAATTCAGCAAACCTTTCAAAGAATTTATTGATGCGTGTCTGAATAAGGACCCAACATTTGTGAGTATTTCTTCTCCGAGTCTCTTAATAGCTGCATAGCTCTTTCTCTGAGAGAGGGAGTACCGTATATACTCTATCATAAGCCCGTTCATTCATAAGCTGACCTCCCCCAAGTTTAAAAAAAGGTGTTAAAATTTCAGTGATGCGTACGTAAGCCGATTCCATATTGGCAATTTGCAAACTTCCAGTTGCAGTTCGTCAGTGTAAGCCGCTGGCAGCTTGGGACGTTTTGTTTACTTGGAGCATCTGCGGGCATGAAGTTCTGCAGCTCCCGGTGTCTGTGATTTGCTTTTTGGACAACAGGAGTGGCAGGAAGTGGCCACATCCCTTAGCTCGTGCCACTTCCTGCGGCTCCCATTGGCTGGGAACAGCGGACAGCAGTCAGAGAGCTGAGGGGCTCCGTGCCTGCCTATGCTCCAGCTACGTAAAATGTCCTGGTGCACCTGCAGTTTGCCTTGCTGGGCTGGGAACTGAAGTTGGCCGACCTTCACCCTAGTTTAAAAAAATAAAAGGTAAAACTCCATAAGCCGCCCCGCGCTTTACTCTGTCACTTCATCCGATTGTGAAGGTAACATGAGTCTACAGCTTTTTATGCTTTTCCATTGGCACTACTTAGACATCCTCCTCCTCCTCCTCATCTGAGGATGTTGAGATGACTAAAGAGAAATAGTGATGAGCTGCAGAGACAGCTTCCTCTAGCAGAGAAAGAAATAGCGTAATCCAGTGTTTCCCAGTTGGTGCTCCGCGGAACTCATGAGTTCCACGAAGCGAAAGTAAGGGTTCCGCGAGATTTACATTACAAATATTTTATATTTATCCAGCTTACTCTGGACTGCAAACCTCCATGAATAGGAGAAGTACCAGTCAGTTTTGTCAATGTACCTTATTGAATGCAGAAATCACCATTGGATAAAATTCTGTAGCTGAGGTGTGAAGCTATCGTGTTCTTAGAGGGTTTGAAATGTCGATTATTTTGAAATAGCATTTCCAATCACAACATGGTGATGCAGGGTCAACGTAACTATCGTCGTATTTGTTGTAGCGCCCCACTGCAAAGGAACTCTTGAAGCACAAATTCATTCTGAAAAATGCCAAGAAGACTTCCTACCTGACAGAACTTATCGATAGGTTTAAGAGATGGAAGGCAGAAGGGCACAGCAGTGATGAAACGGATTCCGATGGTTCCGACTCGTAAGTGGCTTCTCTGACAACTCTGAATGCAGTTGTGGGTGACCCATGTTTTGTGTTCCAACCCACCGCTCTTGGTCTGTGCTAGAACCATTCTCTAGATCGGGGGGCGGGGGGGCAAACTGTCTTTTATTGTTACATAGCAGCTTGCAGAGTGCACCCCCTCATTTTCGGCCTTGCAGGGGGGTCTCAAGGCTTCTACTGAACCCCCAGTCCTCAGCAGGTACCTCCTGTGGGGCTGACCCCCTGAACCCTGGCAGGTATGCCCCAGATCTTGTGCTGTATGTGGCTCAGAGGGTCAGGAGGTTTGGCCACCCCACACTTGCTCTTGCACTAGCAGCAGCCTTGCATGGAATTCTGCTTCCAAACTGGAGCCTATAATGAATGGGACTTGCTTGTGTACTTGCATTTTTATCTGCAACCAAGAGCATCGTCAAATGAGTCTAGCCCCTTGTGTACACTTTGCTCTTGCTGCCAAAGTACCACACGGTTTGGTGGGCCAGAATTGCGCTGTGGCTGAGACCTGCACGGCCCTCACCTCTGCAATGTCTGTAAGCTTCCGTTTCCTGCACATCAGCTCATGGTCTCAAACTGTGAAGCACTGCCCACATTCACTGGGCCACGCAGAGCAACGCCTGGTCCCACAAAGCTTGCCGTTTGAGTTACATCATGAGAGAGAAACATGGTGTTGGGGGGGAGAGTTCTCAAAGTTTGCTTTATTTATTTAATAAAGGTTGAAGAGAGATGCACTTTCATTTGCATGCTCATGACCTATGCTGGGTTACTTTGTGTGTTTGACCACTAGTGCTGTAGAAGGTATTATAATTTTCTTTAGGGAGTCCAGCAACAAGGAGAATTATTCTCATCCCGAATGGAGTTTTACTACAGTTCGAAAGAAGCCAGACACACACAAACTGCAGAATGGAACGGTATGCACAGTCTGAATAGCTCGTTATTCTTAGTGCTGATTTGAAGTTGTTGTAAGGAATGTAATGTTTAGTAACCCCGTTGACTTTTGGCTCCCATTCTTAATTTTATTTTTCATAAGACAACACAAAACAAGTCAAACCCCGGATTGATTAATGGTGAAATCCAGTGACTATGGATTTCTTGACTTAGTCATAAAGATGTGTATGATTCTATGTAATTATTTACAGTTAAGATATCTATAGACAAACATTGTCATGAACTCAATCTGACAATCATCATGTGCAGGGGCGTTGCTTCAGAAATGTAATCCAGTGTTTATTTCCAAACCACATTAGGTTTGTTGAAGTAAGGTACGTTTTTGTGATGTATTGCAGAGGTCCTATTAAATATGAAGTCTTTTTAAAAATGATGATGCCAGCCTGAAAGATTGCTAATATTTCAGTATATGCTTGCTAACTTTTAGGATCAAGACCTTGTGAAAACCTTGAGTTGCTTAACTATGATAATCACACCTGTGTTTGCTGAGGTGAGTGGTTGATTCAAAGATCCCTTTGAAATTTGCTCAAGCATTTTAGAAATCTTTAATGTACATATGGGTTGGTCTCTCTCAGCTTAAACAGCAGGACATCAATAATGCTAGCAGGAAGAAAGCAATTGAAGAGCTTGAGAAGAGCATCACTATGGCAGAATCTACGTGTCCAGGGATCACAGATAAGATGGTGAAGAAACTTATGGAGAAATTTCAGAAGTAAGATTTTTTTTTTGAAGGCCTTCCGCCTCCCCAAGCCTTCTGCCCTGTGAGCTGGAGAAACTTGTATCCCAGTGGGTGCCCCTCAAGGGAGGGATGGGCCATTTGTGCTGGTTGCTGGGGCTGTGCTAGTCACACAAGGGAGGGATGGGCCATTTGTGCTGGCTGTTGGGGGTGTGCTAGTCACGGAATCAGTTTGGCTCACTCTCCTAATCAACCTGGTGAAGCTGGATGCAATTCAGGGGCAGCAGTGTGCCTCTCTTGCATGCTTGTGACTGGGTGGTGGTTGGTCAAGCTACAAAAAAATCTTCCCGGGGAATGCAAGTACCAGACAAGAACTGGTGACTTTCAGCAGTTTTTCCCTTGCCCAGACATGTTCAGAATAGCAAGAAAAGAGATGTCTGAACCCAGCATTCCCTGTAAGCTGGGCACTTGTGCAGCTGCTCAGGAGAGATTCTAAGTGCTCCCCAGCTGATTAGCAGAGCGCTCATAGCTGTGTTTGTGTTTCTGCTGGTGGTGCACATTCAGACATGCACATACAATTATTCCGCATGTAAATGAAAAAGATTAGAGGGACATTGTAACCTGAGGACCCTGTGAAGGTGTTATGTCCACACTGATTCTTTTTTTTTTTTGGGGGGGGGGGGGTAAGGTAACCTAATAGGCAGTAGCATCTTCATGTTACAATAGCTACTGTGTTTTAACAGACATTGTTTAAGGTGGAATCATAGAAGCTGGCTCAAGTGTGTGGTCCTGTCCTGTTTTATGTAATTTGTTAGATGCATTGCATGAGAGACAATCTCTAGGCTGCAGTAAAAATGTGCTGTTTATTCCCTTTCTCTGCCAAGCACCTCTCTCTGCAAGTCGTGTCACAGCGATCAATGGTGCCACTAAAAATGTGCTGTTTATTCCCTTTCTCTGCCAAGCACCTCTCTGCAAGCCGCCTCACAGCGATCAATGGTGCCACCCGTGTTTGGAGAGTCTGCTCAGCATGAGCAGCAGTGGCAAAATAAAGGGAGAATTGATTTGAACACGTCTGTGTGGAAAACATTTTAGCTTTTGTAGTTATAAGTAGCACTTTGGGTTCCTATAAATGCAAAGTGAATGGAAAAACAATTCTTTGTTCTTAATTTACCCTGCAGTTTTAATGTAGACAGTTCCTGTTGTTAGAGACTTTGATAAACCTAAAGAGGGGAGCAAATAAACCTTTGACTACTTCAAAAAATAAATAAAAGAAAATTCCCTTCATATTAATTATTTCAAGGGTCTTGTGTCAAACACTGCCCCTTGGCTTTGTTTTCTTTCATATGTGTAGGCAGTCAGGTTGTAAGCCAACACTGTTGAGTTAAGATTAATGCACTTGTGTAGTAGCTTTATACACTGAAGTGTGATGAATTCATGTGCTGCATACCAAGTTGGAATAAAGTGAATATAATTCTTGTGTATTTTTATGCTCAGGTTTTCTGTTAATGACTCATCCTAAGAAACTTCCGATAAGCGACTGCTGTTTCATATGGACCCAGTGAAACCCACCAAAACTACTTCAAGCTTGGCAGTGCTTAGCTCATGAGCTCCTTGTGCCTTTTGGATCTTTGCAACATGATGATGATGATGATGATCAAGGATTTGAAAGAACCTACTTAACTATTTTGTGATGGTGTATATGGTTTTATATTTTCAGGAAATTATTTTGTAAAGAACAACTTTTAATATTGTAGTTTCACCTGTTGAATCAGATACATGTTGAGGTGCCGTTTTGCTTTTAGATGTGGCCATTACTTTAGTTAATAGGAAGTGCAAGTACAGTATGTGTGGATTCTATTTTGTTACTGGACATCGATGGGAACGTACAGGTCTTTTGTATTCATCAGTTAAACTTTTGTAAATCACTAACAAGCTTCAGAAATAGCCTTTTCTCACGCATTCAAAATATGTAATGTAATGGGTAGGATGTGGCTGTAGCACCTGCTTGGATCACCATCGTTTTATCATACCCTAAAACTAAACCTGCGACAATATCTCTTAGACTTCTAAATTGGTACAGCATTTTAGGCAGCTCTATGATTATACATATTTGAGAGCAATATGTCAGTAGTTTGCAGGTGATATGTAGCAGCAGGTATAACCTGATGTACAGTAGATGTTACCTTTTAGAACAGATTTAGAAGTAGTAATTAAATCTATTCATCATGGTAGGAAATGTAAAGCAATACACTTGCGGGGTGGGGGGCGGCTTTTGGCAATAATGGACAGAAATCGAAGTCCAATTTAATTTAACATTTTCTTTTGAATATAAAAACAGCGCATTGTATGCTTGGGTGGGAGAGAACCAGAGAGAAGTCAGGTGACATGTGACACATACCTCACATGCAGGTATCGGTAGAACACCAGCGTTTTGTGTGGTGGTGATGTTTTCCTGTAAAATATTTATACACTTCTGTTCTGAAAGTACTTAAATGCAGTACGTCAACATCATTTGTTTATACTTTTCTGAAAGTGTATTTTAAATATGTATTTACCAGTCAATATGCAAATAATTGAGTTATAGATATTCTTTCACAAAAAAGTAGTTCTGTGCAGTACAGAGTGATTTTTTTCATAAAGTAGGTAAAAGTATACAATTGCTTTCAATGATATATTTATGGTACTGCTAGATGGGTAAGATCCTTTTTCTTTTCAACCCAGTATGTATATTATGCTGAAGTTTTGAACTGGGATTGTATTTCAGTACTTAGCTGTGGAACTGTTGTTGTAAATTTATTTTTGATAAAGGCTGGATGTGTTTATTTTATGGTTCCTGCACATTTTGTTTTTGCACAAACGTCATTTTAAAGAACCTGAAATATATCTGCCAAATATTGAAAAGTAATGGTGTGCAAACAAATCCTGCATTTTTAGTCAAAAGTTGCCATTACATCGTTTTTATATAAAGGACACTTGTTGAGAGATGGTGGTTAGACATGCCAAGGACAATTATTTTCAATGGTGCCTACACTGTAAAAATTACTTTTAGCTCCTTATTTTAATTTTAAATAAATATCTCTGTTTAAAACTTTCATCTGCTATGTAACTGAAACTCAATTAGAATTTATATCTGAGAAAAAAGTCTGGAAATAGTTTTGAAAACAATAATGTTATGGATTAAATAAATATTTTTATAAGTGTAAAAGCAGCAAAAGTTGTATATACAGTTGATCTGAGGCTTTACAAAATAACTGCAACACAGATGCAAATTGTAGTGCTCCTATAGCTGATGTAGTCGTTAGCCCTGTAAATCTGTTCATAGATGTAGCTTATTTCAATGTTTTGGGGTTTAAAAATAAATATTTAAGTTCTGTAAACTTTCATGACCCAACTTTGTTGTGCATTTTATTTTGGATTTAGCTAAATTTGCACAAGTATTGTTTTATTATGGTTTCCAGGTTAAATGTTTCCATGTAAACTGAAAGAGAAAATGGCTTTTCCCATATTGTCCTTGTCCAAAGAATACCTATTGGAATTTAGACAGTCAGGCATGTGGAGCAACTCCAGTGCTCAATTTGATCTCATTCTTGAAGCATAATCTGTCAGTACATGTATGTGTGTTTGCTGACGTATATATATGGTACCATGGACTGTTCTAAGTGCTGCAGCATATCAAAAGTGCACTGTGAACTCCTTTTTCTGATTGACGATACAGAAAGCACTGTGCCACAGTTAACTCTGATTTTATACTTCTCCAGTCTCAACACCAAAAATCTCCCTAAACTACTCCATACTCATTTCTCAGAATTCAAAACTCCATGTTTTTAATTCCATAATCACTTTCCCTCTAGATGCTCTCTACTTCGGGAGTGTGTGTGATCCTTTCTGAATTTAGTAATTGAAGGCTACAATCCCTCATCTTGATGCCTGGGGCTTTATTCTACGCAACGTAAATGAAACCTGTTCTGAGTGGCTCGAGCAGTGGGCTCCGTGTCAGGGAAGTAGAAATTCTGTTCCTGGCCCTGCCCACTCCTTGCTTGTGTGTGACCTCAACCAAGTCACAGAACTACTGTGCCTCTTTCCTTGTAAAATGGGTATAACACTTACCTACCTCAGGGGGGTGTTGTGGGGCTAAAATCATTGTAGGCTGTGAAGAGCCACAGTCTTCTCTAGTGCTGTGCAGTGGAGGAGCTGAAAGTACTGCACTGCAAATAGGATTTGCTCGGCTGAAGTCCTGTACATCACGATGGGAATATATTCTACTTTTTAGTACAGATGGTTTATTAGGGAAGAATCCTCTGGCTTGTGTATTTTCCCTATTGCGTTAAGGAGAATTGACATTTTAGTCACTTATGGAAATAGAATTGTAGTAAAAAAATGTATTGTATTAGTCATACTTGGGTATCAGTCCTTTGTCAATGGAATCATTTCGGGACCCTATTAATTCTGCTTGTCTCAGATTCTGCCACGGTTTTGTACAGTATACATGTAGTAATCGTTAAATCTGTTCTTACATTCAAGTGACTGCTTAGTGACCAGAAAGCCTGGATTCTTAATGTGTTTGCACAAGTTTAGCCATTGTTAAAGGTCTGGCTTTTTCACGCTGTTTTAACTCAACACTGGAATAAATTCTTTTTCCCCCCCTTTTGCAAAGCCTTAGTGGTATGTATGTTGGTTTGCTCACTTCGTGTTCTTCTGAAAAATGAAATTAAGCTTCCCATGCAGAGGCAAAGGGTCTGCATTCTAGATGACAAGGTGATCACTAAAACCAAAAACATCCCTTACATGTTTAAAAATGTGCCAAGTTGTATCTTGTGTTTTTTTTTTTTTGGCCGTGACAAGGAGCTGCTGTGGTTCATGCTGCTCATCTTGAAAGTTAGACTCAAAATATTGCCTGCTGTTCAGATATCACTAATTTCCTCGGAGACGGGGCGTCGCTATTAATTCCGTTTTAGTCTCCTGCCCTTAAAGCACGACATATATCGTTTGATTAATCCTGTTTTGTTTAGTCCTGCCCTGAGTGCAGGGGACTGGACTTCGGAAACCTCTTCAGCTCCTGTGCGGTCCGTCCTGCCCTGAGAGCAGGGGACTGGACTTCGGAGACCTCTTCAGTTCCTGTGCGGTCCCACAGTCCTATGTGAATGATGTGCTCACTAGTATTTCCCTTCTCTTACCCTTCTCAATGTAACTAGATTAAAAAAAGGAAAAGAAAAGTCGCCAGCTGAGGAGTCGATTCTGCCATGGGAGGGCGGGACAATTCATCCATGGGGCAGAGTTGACCAAAAGCGTGCGAATACTGGCATGGCAGCACGGAGGGTGTGGGTGCCAGAACCAAGCCCCACAATTCTCTGTCAGGTCTGTCAAGGCTAGTGACAGGATCGCTCCATTTCCTGGAATAGTCAGGGAGACCCCATCTAAAGCGAATTAGAAAAGGTTCAGAGAAGGGCAACTAAAATGCTGAGGGGTTGGGAACGGGTCCCCGTATGAGGAGAGATTAAAGAGACTGGGACTTTTCATCTTGGAAAAGAGGAGACTGAGGGGGGTTAGGACAGAGGTCTATAAAATCATGAGTGATTGGAGAAAGTGAATAACTTTTCCTTATTTACTTGTTCCCATAATATAAGAACTAGGGGCCACCAAATGAAACTAATGGGCAGCAGGTTTAAAACAAAAGGAAGTTCTTCACACAGCGCATAGTCAACCTGTGGAACTCCTTGCCTGAGGAGGTTGTGAAGGCTAAGATTATAACAGGGTTTAAAAGAGAACTAGATAAATTCATGGACCTTTAGTCTGACCCAGTATGGCTGTTCTTATAAATGCTGCCCTCTAGCACCCACATTAATAATACCAACTATTGTTAACAGGTAGTGGCGTGGCACCTAATAGACTAACAAATATGTAGTATCCTGAGCTTTCGTGGGTAAAGCCCACTTCTTCAGATGAGATGAACTTGAGTGTCCACTCAATCCTCTCTGAAGATGTGGGTTTTGCTCACATCCATCTAGACATGTTAGCCTCTAAGGTGCCACAGGACTACCCAGTGTTAGTCTAACTTTAAAAACATGGCGACTGCTCTGGATCTGTCGTGAATGGTCTTTAAAATACTTCAAGGGCATGCTGATGTCAGCACATCCCTTTTGTTTGCCTGGAGTTTCCTGGATCTCCGTTTGGTTGGCACCGATATGCTGGCGTCGTGTGCCAGGAGCAGGAAGCCTTTTGTAGAAGTGCTTTGTCATTCTGTGGTGGTGTAATGCCTGAATGAGTGTTTGCACACCCCTGTGTGTAATGAGTGGACGGACAGGTAATCTAGGCGGAGGGCCAGATACGATTAAAGAAACTGATTTGATTTGGCAGCAATATCCCTGTTTTCTCATTTGCCAAGAGTGATTTGTTTCTGGTTGGAACCTTCTGCTTGCTCCTGTGCAGAGCGTGTTACTCACAACATACACCAAGAGGAAAGTCTGAAATGAGTGTGGTGGTGAAGCACCCTTCATCTCGGTGCAGTTAATCCAGGGACCCCACTCCATTTCCTCTTGTTTTCGGGGATTGCCTTGTCTTCCTCCTGGCAGTCCTTGCTGTTGCTGGCAGCCCATTCTTCCTCATTGGAGGTTGATGGGATATGGACGGTTGCAGTGTGCACGCTTGGCCTGGGTCCTGTGTATTGTATGGATAAAACTGGCCTAGTGCCCCCCCCCATGGGCTAGAAGAGATTTCAGGTTTGCCTACCCATGTTCAGGTGCCTCCACTGAAGATGGTTCCCCCTGAGCTTGGCTGGTAGGTTTTTAAAAACACGGCTTCTCCCCCTCAGAACTCCAGCTGGGGCTTTGGTGTCATGGCAGAATGGTGCATTGTGGGAGCAGAGGACAGAAAGGAGGGCTGGGGTGTGGAGTCGGAACAGCCCTGGGGCCTGGCACTGATGTCACAAGTTGGAGCAGCCCTGCAGCTGCTCTTACTGTGTGTGAGGCGGGGGGGGGGTAGGTTTTTAAAAACACGGCTTCTCCCCCTCAGAACTCCAGCTGGGGCTTTGGTGTCATGGCAGAATGGTGCATTGTGGGAGCAGAGGACAGAAAGGAGGGCTGGGGTGTGGAGTCGGAACAGCCCTGGGGCCTGGCACTGATGTCACAAGTTGGAGCAGCCCTGCAGCTGCTCTTACTGTGTGTGAGGCGGGGGGGGCAGAACTTGGCCCTAGAGCTGGGACAGCAGTGACCCATCCTCTGCCAGTCCCAGCAGGGGCCTCCAGTGAAGGGGGGTGCTGGAGCCGGTGAGCAGCGCCTGTAGCTGATGAAGGGGGAGACACTAGCTCTCCTCGCCCAGTCCAGTCCCCTTTGTAAACCGTTCACACCCTGGGCGAGGCTGCCTTAACCGCATGGCCTTGAATGCCGCTGATGGGACATGCTCAGCCTCCTGTTTGCGCCCACGCTCGCCTCGCAGCTCTGCCGCAGAACCACCCGGGACCTCACGGGGACCCAGGAGAAGCTGCCTGGTGTAGCCGGGCGCATTGGGGCTGTTCCAGTGTGAGGGGCCATCTGCCAGCAGAGCTGAGCCCCCACCCTGACCGTCGGCAGCTAAAACCTCACACTTGGGCCACCTGGAAACCTGCTCTGCCCAGCACCAGGCCTTCGGACAAACCGGGAAATGGGGTGAGGACGCCAGCTTCCTCCCTCTTGTTCTGGGCCCAGCACCGCTCCGCATCGTGGCACCTATAGTCATGCGCTGGCCACGCCTGGCTCGCACCTGGCTCCCTGCTAGCACCCGGGCCCATGGCTGTTCTAGGCCCGGGAGACGTGCCCCATGCAGTGGGGGCTGGAGTAACCGGGTGTAGAACTGGTGTCACCTCTTCCGTCCTGCCCAACAGCACCACCCTGCAGTCCCGGCTCCTGACGGGCTGGGGCCAGCTGCTTCCAAGGCAATTACAGACCAGAGCAGTGAGACTGACCCATGGGGGCCGGGGGGCCGGAATTGAACGCAGAGGGCAGGGGGTGGGCGAACAAGGACACTGTAGCCACTTCCATTTCCTGTATGGGTACAGGTCTTGGCTGGCCCGTTCCTGGTAGGGACTGCCCACGTGCTAACGGCCCCCGCCCACAGGATGTGGGCAGCACCGATCTGCGCCCTCGCTGAGGGGTGAGCTCACGCCCTCCCCTGAGGGGCAGGGGGAGGGAGGGGCCCATGGAGTGGCACCCGGAGTGTTGACTGACGGGGGCTGAGCAGTGGTCGATGGGGGGAGACTCCGTTCCCGCGTGGCTGAGGCTCATGGCCTGGCTGCGGGAGGGTACTTCTGGGGTGTGACCAGCTCCTTTGCTGTGGGGGTCTTGCGGCCCAGCAACCTTCAAACCTTGCCACGGAGTCTTGTTAACCCACGGCCCTTGTTTGCTGAGGGAAGTGTGTGTGCGGGGGGGCCATGCCAGAGGGGCTCCAGCAACCTTCAAACCTTGCCACGGAGTCTTGTTAACCCACGGCCCTTGTTTGCTGAGGGAAGTGTGTGTGCGGGGGGGCCATGCCAGAGGGGCTTTG